TAGATTAATCACTACGAGGCTCAGCTAATATAGTCAATTCGCGTGTCAAGACTTATTTTAGCGCTGACCTATAGATAAACAACGCCACTTCCTCTCCCCTCTCTTCCTCTCTCTCTGTTCAGACCAACCGGTGTGCAGAACAAAAAGTGGCGGCTCAAATTCAAAGGGTCACTTGATGATCTATCACATCACGTATAAACTGCCGGCAAAACAACAGAGAACAGACAGAGATAGGCCTTATTTTGACAATCACTTGGCAAACGTTTTAAACAAAAGTCCACCAATCACCGCAAATAAAAGTGCGTACGCAAATCGCACAACACCGGACGAAATTAGAAACGATGCATAAGGATCGAAGGTGGCAAGTATACACAGCATGAGTAGTCACTGGTCAATATATCGGAAAATTTACTCGGGATTTGTTTTCCATCAAAACGATGCTTGCCTAGTGTGTGCAGAGGACCTCGCCATTGTAGTTTAAATAAAGAACGGCGAGAAAACATGGTATATCACAGACGAAATAGGACAACCGATGAACAGTTGTACAAAACTGTTGCGTACAACTCTCGTCTGTCTGACGACGACCTGGTGAGCCAGGGTCGAAAATGCACACAATAAACTATCATTTCCCAAAGGACTTATCCTACCGAATAAAGGACGATTTACACGTGAATTATGAGCAGAAGAAAGGAAGGCGGCTCAATTTCAAACGGTAACCCAGTGACAAATCACACCGCACGGAAACTGCTGATAAAGAACCAAATGGCGACTCACTATAACGTGCAGGGTCTTAAGAAGGCGCAATTGTACTGCATGAATAAATCAGATCATTCAAGTGTAACCTAATCTCATTGCATGCAGTCTCCCTGCTGGAAAGTGTGTACCTTCTGCACAGGCTGCCAAGTAGTGTTAGTACTAATCAACTCCTTGGTCAGAATCATTAGCAAAGACTAAGCCGGTTCAAGGAGAGCGTTTAAAAATAGGATGGCGAGATTTCTACGCCAGGACTCGCTTGCCGCACACATGCTCTTGGAATTG